CACAAAATATGTTAAAACAAGCATTTCAGGTCATTTGTCAGTTGGCCTGTCAGTCTCCCATTGCAATTAAATAATTAAGAGTACAGGTGATGCAACAAAAAATTATTTTACAGAAGTAAATGCCATCTGTGAAATAGGAGTAGTGAATTTCATGAGCTGCTTATTGGTTACTTTTCTGTTAAAATGTGAATGATCTCTCATCATGATTCATGCCCATCTGTTTTAACTTGTAACAGGATACCAGATTGTGCCATAATACTGACACATTTATTTTTCATACTACATCCCAATTTTTAATGGAACTGATTCAAGTTTATAATGTTCTCAGAAAAAAAGTGTGTGATAGGTAAATCAAGATCCACTGTTGTGATAGCAGAATTATGAGAGAGGGTTTTGTTTCAAAACATCGTGTTGCTAAAGTTTATGCAAACTTATTTCTGGAACTGGTTGAGGCTGTATATGGTTCAGAGAATGATAATTTCTGGCAGAATGTGACCACAGAGAAGAAGATACTTATGTTAGTTAAACTGTTGCCAGTAATGAATTCTATTGAATGAGATTGTTGATTGACCATTTTTCTGTGAATTTCTTCCTTTTTAAAACAAATTATTTCAGCTGGGTCTATATTATAAAGATGGTAAAAATTTGACCTGGAGTTTTCTTCATTTATTATAAACAGTGTGGATTTGTGTCATTTTGCAGTTTGCGTTAGACTATAGTTTCAAGTTTTATTCTGGTACACTGTTTAATATGAAATGAATAAGATAATTTATTCACATTCTATGAACAAAATCTCAGGTTAAATTTGGATCACTCTTACATAAACAATACCATACATTAACCATTTTTAAATCATTAAAGCATATTTTGTGCATGAGAACTTGACTGCATCTGAAATATGTCGTAACCACTTACTTAAAAATAGCCTTATAGTTGAGCTAATAACATAAGCTGCTAATTTATGTTTCTCCTTCTTTGACCACGAAGATGAACAGAATTATTCTAGTCTTCTGCGATATACACGTAGAGACCTACATATGAAAAATACTAAATCACAGTTAATTTAAAATGCTGCTGAATTAATGTTTTATTTACCGTTTGTTACAATATGTATAAATTTATTTTCATTCTGATGAGAATTATGTACTCTCAGGCTAAGAGCTTCATCCAACAGTTCTGCTTTGGCTTCAGAAATCGTACCATGAGACTAAAAGTCTACTGTTGGCATAGTCATAGTGGATTTACAGTTTATAGTCTTCCAGGGCTTCTGCCACGTGTAGGAAAAGTATCTTAATATTCTGACAATTCAGTCTTTTGTCAGATTGTGTATATGTGCATTTCATCAACTTTGTTCATTTATTTACACATTTTTTTATATGCTAGATACCACATTTATGTTTGAAGTTTTTGATTCTTTAGTCTAGGATATCTTTCTAGCATTACTCTATTGTTTCCAAGATTTGATTCCAGAATTGTAGAGTTTAATTTCATAGTAATGGTGCTCATGGCTTGAGAGAATTAATAATATGTTCATCATGCATGCTTGTATTAGTATAAAAAGTGTTCTGTGTTGCTTTGTTTCTGTTTGAGAGTGAAGAGAAACGATGTGATATAAGGCCATTTGATAAGATTGTGAAATGGACGTCTCACACAGCATAGACACAACAATGTTTGAAAAACAAATACCTATCAGTTCCTATTGGAACCACAAGTGCTAACCGTTAACATGTTTCAACAAATTACCATCTAATAATTTATTTGTATTGTGAAGTGCAAATGACAAGAGGACTAAGTGCTAAACAGAAAATATTTTTAAAATGAAAACATTAATAAATTATAAAAGTTGCACTGTAATGAAATAAAATTAAGATCTGTAGTGAAACTAGTGGTATGCTGTCATTACTTGTGCAAGATTCTGGCACTAAATTTTAAAATAATTATTTCTGGTACTTAGTCTTTGAAACATTTCCACTCTACAACCTGAGAAGAGCATTGTGAATTTTCAGATGCAACTGAGTTGCAGAGCATATGGGAGATTGCATGTTTGTGAGTTAATGGATCAGGTCAAATGTGAACAAGTTGAACAACATAGGTTTTGTGGATCCCAATCTTCTTACCTCATAGCAACATGTGTCTTTCATGCGCAGGAATGTGTCTGAAGAATGTGACATCTAGATTTTTATGTTAGTAAGTAAGTAAAGCTGCCCACTATATGCCATGTAGGTGCTTGGGCTAGAGGAGATATAGCTCCTACTCATTCTTTACCTTAGCACTAGATGGGGGTGAGTGGTCAGCATCACACCCCGGCTGCGCTTTACCCCTGGGAAAGGACCTCAGTACCCATTGGATAGGAGGTTGGGTGAGCCCCAGAACCGGTCTGGACGCAGAGGCTAGTGAAAAAATCCTCTGCCCCCGTTGGTAATTGAACCCCAGTCATCCAGTCCATAGCCAATCACTATACTGACTGAGCGGTTATTGACTTTAATGTCACCAAAATGCAAAATAATTACTTTTTATAATGACACTAGCATTAATTATTTCAAAACTGTAATTGCAAATTTAGCCTACAACATATAAAACCTGTGTATCATGTCTTCTGAGGAATTGCCAGCTCTCATCATATTTATTTATGAGAATATTGCATTTTTAAACTTATTTATTGTTGAAATAATAGCATTTATGGTATAATTTTATTGAATAAGGGGAAGTATGATCACAATGCCCGTTATTAATAGTCATTGACTGTCAGTGGTGTTGGTCAGACAGCTTTCCTGTTTTGTATGCATGGGTCCTTATTGTGAATCTCTCATCTTCCATCAAAATTCCATCACTCCAGACTAGGTGGTATCAACATGTGTTCACATTTGATCAAATTCGTTCTGTTTGTGCTGTTCATATTTTTAAAGACAACACAACCACACAATTGATTTTTATTGTTACAGTTGCAGACTTTGCTAGTTTGTATAATTCTAGTTGATATATAGATAATAGTTGATTATTGTAAACAGAAATATATTGTTGGTTGATTTACAATGAATGACATTTTTACCATAGCAGCAGTAACAATGTTTATTGTCAATGTATCTTCAGCTTGTGTAAATGTCTGTACTAAACTAAATGCTAAAATAATACAGATAACAATTACATGTGAGAGTGGCATTAGAAGGTGTCCACTGGTCTTGGGGCACTCAGTGCTCAGAAGCTGTCTTGATATCAGCCTTCCAGTTTTACAACCACTGTACATGATTTTGTGAATCTGAAGTCTCAGTAAACTGTTAATAGAACCCTCTGATGAATGTAGGAAAAGTTGTGCTTAAACGTTTGGCGACAATGATTGAAACTAAATTTGAGAAGTATTTAAGTCTTTTAACTTAATGTTGTAAATGCTCGTTATCTGAGATTTTCTTATCGTGAATTTAATGGGGGACCATTAACTTGCAAGTTTTTAACTACCAATTGGAAATAATATCGATTTCCTTCCTCTACATTTACAATGCAAAAATTTTGCAAAATTTTTCTCCATATTTTCTTTAAAGAATTTTATGTTGGTATGTTTTATTCTGTACTTGGCAGCTACAGTGTTTTCTGAAAACAAAATCACCCATTCAAATTTCAGAACAGTCACATTAGAAGTGCTATGAGTCTTAACAGGATGTGAGTAGTTCTGAGCAGTGTTCTGTTAATAATTCATGGCTGCATTTTGCAGCAAAATATGTGGTCATGTGAGCTTTATCTTGTCCATCAGTTTATATACTTAATATGAACCTAATGATTTTGCTGTGAAGAACAAGACATAAACTGCATAACTTTACTATGATAACTTAGTAAATCCAGTGGAGAATTTGAGATGTTAATGTTATTGTTACGCTTAGTCATAGAAGTTCATACTTTAAACACTAAATATTATCATACCATAATTCAAGACACAAATCCAAATTTATCGATATGTGATTTATATTTCTATAGAATTGGTGTAAGGCCAGGTGCAAAAAAAAAAACAATTTCAGAAGCCAACACAAATCACACTTGGACATACTATAGGAAAAAATTGACAAGCCTGTGGCACAAGGAAGCCATGCCTGTGGACATCTTCATCTAAATTCACTGATAAACAAAGTATAATCTGAAAGCTCAGTTAACATAAAACCATAATCCTCTCCCTGTCTTTTTCCAGTCTTTCTCTTTCAGTGTAATGTAATAGATTTTACAGTATCAATACAGATGAACTTACAGCAAACAATAGAGAAAATGTAACAATTAGTCCAAGAATGATAACTGCATCATCTGAACTGTTTAAATAACTTGTGCTGGTATTTCATGCGGGTTCTGTATAGGAAATGATTATCCTGATTACATAACAAATTAACAGCAATAAAATTTAATGTGAAAAAGTAACAGAAAAGTTACATAAGTAATGAATTAATAAAAATGAATGGAAGACTCAAACCTGAAGGGAAGTTATAAATTGAGAGACCTAGGCAGGGAAAATTTGGAGATAAATGTTAAAATGGATCTCACAGAAATAGGGTGATATTTAGAAAGAAATGTTTAGATGGATTTTGCAAAAATAGTTACAAGTGTTTTGAATGGACTCATATGACAAGGACCAATGACAGACCCTTGTGAAAACTCAACTATACATACTGGGTATCTCTTTGATGTACTTTGAATCCTGAAAGCCATAACATGTAATTAAATGTCCAGTCTTTAATTTGTTGGTAGGTTTATTACATTTTGCCTTATAAGATTAGCCCATCAGCTTTTAAAATTATAAAAGCATTTTGGATTTAAAACAGGAGGTTAATATATTTGCTTGTGAAAGTTTACACAGAAATTACAAGAATATTTTTATTGTTACTCTGCAATTTTTGTGCTATAATTATTGACGAATTTGAATATTTTGAAGACAATTAGGTTGCTGTTTTCCTACCTTTGAAGATATAGTATTTTTTTATCCAATTCAAAGTACGTGGTCACTCCACAGATTATCTTCCCTCAGATCACCGATTATTAAATTCTAATCCATGCGGAACCGGGGTATGTTTCATGTGTTCTTCGTAATGTGAACACATGTAAAATAGCGCGAAAATGGGAACTCGGATGAAGAATAAACATGTTGAAGTACAATTCATCGCCGACCAAGACGTTGGGAAACAGATAATTTCTATTAAAGATATAAAGAACAAAAAAATAGGTATTAACATAAGCATTTTTAAAACGTTAATTATTTGACGTTAATTGCTTGAAATTCGCTACATTTAGATGTGACTGTAAGTTAATCCAGATTCAAGCATCTCAGGTCATCACGTTTTATTTGTGTCTGAATCTCTCGGAATACATTTTCATTTTCAGCTTACAGAAACAGGTGATAATATGTCTTTGCCTATTTCTTTTCAGACCGATACACGTGACAAGGTTATGTTGTTTTATATGCGTTTTTTCCGATATGTTAACGGCGATTGTATTACATACAGTAAATTGATAGTGATTAAATTTGTGTAGTGAATGCAGGATACCTGGAATACCAGAGAAAATTAGCACCATGCAGGCATATTCAGTTTAAACCTCACTTGGATTGGTTAGGTTTTGTGCATTCATAGGAGTTAAGAGTTGGAGTTTATTTACATTCCTTAAATCGTTCTTTGGGCTAAACCAAAGGATGTGGAACATGTTATAATACCAGTACAAAAACCTATTTCAACTCCCTCTTGTCTTTATGGTGTCAAAGATTTCATATGTGTTTTTATATTTGCTTATTCATGTATTTGTTATGCTGTACCTGACATTATACATTTACTGATTCTGTAGGGATATTATGAATGTAACAAATTCAGTACACTGCAGTTATGACATTACCCATTGCTGAAGGTAAATTTAATATACACAGCATTTCAGGAGGATACACTTCACCCATGTTCAGATGATTTGTTATTATGCTCACTTTTTTATTGGCCTTTTGTTTTACTGCTAGTTGAGGTGGTTAGAATTTAACTCCTTAAATGATATGTACCAAACTTTCTTCTGTCAGGGCAGGAAGAAAATAAATAAAATCAATACAAGTATCTGTCACTAACTCACTACCTGTTATCTACCATTGACTACCATTTGCTCCTCAAAAGTTGTATATAGTATGCATATCACAGCCAATGGATAATTTTCAACACAATTTCTGTGTAAAGTAAGTTTATTACTATATTGTACTTATTTAGTTGACTGCATTTTTTCCAAAACCCATCTTCATTTTAGGAAATGCTGTTCAAAGAAGAAAGACCCGTAAACATTGTAAGAGCAGTGATTCAGATGAAGAGTTGGATGATGTCCCATATAAAGAGCTTGACACAAATGAGAAGCCAACAGGTTAGAAAGCAGGCATTTTCAGTGTATTTATTATAAGTGCTTATCTTCTGTCAGCCAAAGTGTATTTTCCTATCATGGCTGTAAGTGCTTACATAAAACCATGTTATACTGTATCATAAAGTAAGTTCCGTGTTTTTGCTGTAGAAAAATATTCTACACTTATTTATATCTTGTGTAAAACATTCATATAAATTAAATTTGAAATGTGACTTTCTAAAAGTAGGGTCCACTGAGGTATGAACAAAAGATACTTTACTCATGTCAAGAGCATGATCAGTGTGCACTTCAAGAAGGTTAAAGCTAAGACCAATCCACAAATAGCAGAGGTGATTTGATAGCCATATTGAAAGCAGCTTTTCTATGGATGGACATTCTGAAATTAAAGACCCTGTTTGTGTACTTTTGGGATTCTATGATGGTTTTATAAACTATCTGTGTAAAATGATTACACCCATTAGCTTCAACGAAGGTAATACCAGATTTAGGAGTGAGAACAGACCAAACTGTGTAGTTGTCAATGTAAATGATCAATATCCTCCCATATGGGCCTGGGTCTGCCATGTGTCCTCTTCCCTTGACTTTTCCAGATTGAGGTTTTCATGTATTTATATTTTTACATATGTCAGAGTATACATATTGCACAGGAGAGAGAGTACAGTTTGAGGTGTCAAACCATCCAAATAAACAAGAGTGGCTGTTCTCTTACAGCCTTGTTTCAAGACGGTGATATACCTGGTCAGCAGATGTTTGGATTTCAGACTCCGAAGGGCAAGAGGGCAGCCATGCCAAAAACACCAAGAGCTACTAAAACACCACAGTCTAGAAAGGCGATTGAGACGCCACATGCCTCCAGCAATCAAGTTTCATCAGCCAAAACCCCATACAGTTTGCGCAGGAGACTGAAGAAAAGTAAGTTGACCCACTAACATTGTGATCAATCTTATTAGTTGTGATAGTTGTGCATTAATTTTTAAGCCGGATTTGTGATTGTAATGTAGAGAAACTTAAGTACCCAGCAAAATTACATTTATCCAAATTTTACAATTAGTGTTGAAGTGTTTGTTACCATTTAGTATTTGAGTTCTCATGGCAGTAAGTATGAAGACAGCTGTCTTCTATGTTGTAACAAAATTTACTCTCATAGAAGTTTACCGTTGTTTCAGAGGTACTTGCCGCCTTACCAGACAGCCATCTCATGTTCATTATCAGTCCAGTACAAAGTGAATAATTTGAATTCATATAATTCTTGTGTTTTTCAGTCTGGAGCAATCTGACTTTGCCTTCACTGTATTTGCAGAGATTGCGTCAACTGCATGGCATGCTGCTGATGGCCACCTGAGCGACAGTGACTTCTCAGCCAGTGACAGTGAGTACATCCCTAGTGACAGTGACACATCTTTGCCAAGTGAAGATGAAAGCAGAGATGATGATGATGAGGCAGTGGAGGAACCGAAACATCGACCCAGAAGAGAGCAAAGACTGCGAGAGATGGAATATGTGAGTTAAAGGAAGATTGGTACTGACAAGCCATGCAAGAAAAAGATTGGGAGACTTAGGTGTAAATGAAAAGATAATCTTATAATGGACCTTAGTGAAATACTGGGATAGTGGGAACGACCTGTTCTTCAAGTGCCTGAGCATTGCGGGACCAAACTTTTCGTTGGCTTCATCTATAGACATTCGGTAGGACTCCTTGGATGAGGGATTGGCCCGTCGCAAGGCCTCTACCTGTACACAGGACAGCACAACACAGAAAAACGCGGACAGACATCCATGGCTTGAGTGGGATTTGAACCCACGGTCCCAGTGACCAAGCGGCACAAGGCCCACGCCTCAGACCGTGCGGCCACTGCGGACCCCCCTTAGTGAAATAGGATGTTAATATATGGACTAGTTTAGTAAACTCAGGATAATGTTCAGGTATGTGATTTTGTGAACATATTAATGAGCTTTAGTATTCAATGAAGCAGGAAATTTCTTTACTAGCTGAGTAACTATCAATTATCAATAGAATGAATCAATGATTAAATGAATAATTGAATTAAGACCCCAGTTATCTCATCCATAATGAGTTTAGCGTGAAATGAAGTCTCAAAACATAGTGGATTTTGTGGGATGTCTGAACGTTAGCTTCGTGTTAACTGAATAGCCCTCATTCCTTGATGTTGAACTGCCTGATGTGTTGACAGGTACTGGAAGCAGCTGAGTTCTTTACCAATCAGAAGTCAGTGACGTCTGACCACACACTAAACAGACTGCAACAACCACGCCTGGCAGAGAAACAGCTGCACGAACTGCTGGAGGACATGACATTATCACACAAACAGGCTGTGTACAACCTCTGCGAAGATCACACACAGCTCTTCAGCAAGTGGATGTTTGCCCTGAGGTGTGAATGCATTCAGTTCTCTTCGTATTTAACTAAATTTCAAGTTACGTGTGTCCTCACTTTTTGATAAGGGTGACTTTACTATACTATACAAAGTACTAGTGAGTGGACTCCCTGAATGTTCAGTTTCTTTTGTTATGGAATCTGAAAGTTCATCACTGCCCTATTCTGAGTCAAGTTACATGTCCACATTAGATTTTCATAAGATTTGTTTTAATATTATTCTTGCATTTATGTCTTGGTCTTGCAAGTGGTAACTTTCCGTGAGGTTCTGTGCATTTTTTATACATGTATAAGTATAAATTAACGAACCTTCCAAATTACTATACTTCCCCGAGGAGAAGAGAAAGTTTTTCGTTGTTTTAAGAGTTAAAGAATTAGGGGTTGTCTTGAATTTGACTGTAACATATACTTGAGTGTCTTTTCAACATTTTGAGCCTTTAGCAGGTCTTTGTTCTTCTTCCATTTCTTGACCATCACTTCGGTCTTCCAGTGCCTAATATTTTCTTCCATTCTTCTCGTATTTTCCCATCCTTCCGGAGGTAGTTTCCACTCTATCATGGTTCTTATAATTCTGTTGTTCCATCCTGGTATCATTCTCCCTCTCTTCCTTCTCTCTTTTGGTTGCCATTTCATAGTCTTCTCTGGTAACCTTTCCTCCTTCATCCTTTGCACATGTCCGTACCAAATCAGTTGTTCATTTTCCATTTTCATTGCCATGTTTGTCTTCTTGGGTTCCAATTCCGAGGCTTATTTTTATTAGGCTATTTTAGCATTGTGATTTTTTCCGACGGGTGAGGAGCTGGCCCACCGTGTCAACCCCCAATCTGGAGGACCAGGTGATTTTTTTTCAGGATATTCTTCCCCTATCCTTTGAAGAACCAACTTCTGTCACTACAAGGCAGCATTGTCTGGTTTTGGTCTGCCCCAGGTATTTTATTTCCCCTGTACCCTCCATTTCTGGTGAGTATTCCCCTATCTGCCACCTGGGGAGGCGCCCGATGGGAGACCAGCAACTCCTCAACGAGTCTTTGTTTTAAGATACATTTTTGCTCACATTTGCACAGCAAATGAAAGATTGTCATTGCAGGGAACAGTATAGTGTGGTGCTCTACGGGCTGGGCTCAAAGCGGCACACACTGCAACAGTTCCGAACCCAGATGTTAAAAGACCACCTGGTGCTGGAAGTGAATGGGTTCTTCCCCAGTTTGACTATGAAGGAGGTTGGTGAGCTGTGTTTGAAGTTTTATGGGATATTATTTTATGATACAAGTTAAGAATTGTTGGTGTCACATAACAAATAATGTGTTTTGCATTACTGAGAATTAAATTTGTTGCGTAACTGTGTTATGTCGTACTGATTTGTTGTCATCAATTTTCACTTACAACACTTGTGTGTTTCACAGTCAGATGTTTGTTTTAAGGTGGAAACTCATGTTAAAATATATATACTGAAATTCCAGTGTGATGAGTATGATATACAGCAAGCATTTCCCTTTATTGAATATTTGGTACTTGTTGGTTATCAGAACAAAACGGGAGAGTCGAATATCTGGAGTTGGAGTCATCTGGATTCATATTTAGCTGAGTTCATGTGGCGGCGTACAAATGATAACGGTGAAGAATGAAGAAGAAATAGTTGTAACCCCTTCCTATTTTAATTGTTCCATGTATGTTTTGTGGTGGAAAAAGATTTGATATTAATTTTCCTCTACATTTGTCTTATTTTACTACAGGTTGTAGACTCAATAGCAGATGAGGTGCTGGAATTGCCAGATCGGCCAGCAGGGATGCTTGAATGCTTGGAAGTGATTGAGGAGGAGTTGTCCAGTGAGCTGTTTATCATCGTTCACAACTTGGATGGCCCAATGCTGCAGTCTAACAAGAGTCAGGATGTACTTTCACGACTTGCTAAGATGGAGCACGTACATCTCGTTGCCTCCATTGATCATATAAATGCCCCACTCAGTGAGTTCCTGTTTTATTTAAATTTTGTAATAGTCCCATGATTGTTCGGTCTTCATATGCATTTGAGTGTTAACTACATTTCTAATGCTTCTTCTATGGTTCTCCGGTCCGTATTCTGTCCATGGCGTCCTCAATTCTCCTCTTCCATTCGGTCCTCAGTTAGGTCCGTCTGTCCGAGGCTTTAATTGAGGTTTTGAACATCTTCCTTTTTACGGTGCAAGGTTGTTAGCCTTGCGACCAACCCCCAACCTGGAGGACCAGGGTACCTATCTTAGTCTGACCTCTCCCCCTCGACCAATCTGGCTAGGAAGGCCCTACCAGTAGCTATGCTACCACCAGCATAGATCTTAGTGTCACTGAGGTACTCAAGCCCCACCACCACGACAAGGTGCAGGTACCATTAAGTGGGGCATTTCTAGTGCTGCCAGGCTTAAATTACAGAAACACATTGTCTATAATAAAGCAAGGTTAAAGTTTTGTAACCTGTGGGATGAATTACTACAGAATTAATTTAAAAAGTGTTTTACATCTTTGTGAATGCTTGTCACTGTTCTAATTAGGAAAATCTCCAAATTCACTCTCATCTTCTGTCAAGAATCAACTTCTTCCACACTGCTGTAATATGAAATCAGTAATCTTTAGTATGTTTTTATGCTTAGGAACAGTGATTTGCAGGTCCCTTTCAGTTGCCTGAATATTTGAGGAATGGAACACATGAAATTGAAGTTCTGATTTCCAGCAGTCTTCAATATCCTGAAAGTTTGGTATGTGTTGCAGTCTGGGATCAGGCAAAATTAAGTCGCTACAACTTTGTGTGGTGGGACGTCACATCTCTGCAACCGTACTCTGGGGAGACACAGTTCGAGAGCTCATTACTAGTGCAGAGATCTGGTGGCCTAGCATTGTCATCCCTGTCTAATGTGTTCAACTCCCTGACCACCAATGCACGCAAAATCTTTATCATTATGGTGCGCCATCAGCTGAGGAACCATAAGGATCCCACATTCCTAGGTATGTGGATTGCAATTGGATCCAGTTGGATGGAATTGAGTGTCTTGGCTTTCTGGTCTTGAAGAGGCTTCCTGTACTAACCTGTGAAGAAAGGTGTTTTTGTGTTACTATTATAGATTGAAAGGAGGGTGAAGCATATTGTTTTAATATTAGCCTTTTATTTTTACATGGATCTTCAAGTGGTCTTTCCCTTCACATTTTTAATCTAAAACTTTGTACTCACTGCTGATTTCTCTCATGTGTGATGTAGCCCTTTGCATAAAATCCTTGTAGTAGTAGTAGGAGGAGGAGGAGGATAAAGAGGAGTAGTTATGTTGATGGTGGTAATTGTACAAAATTAGTTATTATCGACTTCATTATTTTGCCATCTCTTTGTCAAGGAATTTTCTGTTTTAAAAGATATTTGGTTTTCATCTTTAGTCTTTGAGTGTTTGTGGGACTTTGTCTTATTACTATTGTATGTTTTACACTTTACCCATCCTTGCAGGTTCATGGGTCAAGTTAAATAATTCCTGTTAATTTTCCTTTATGTATTGAGTGCAACATAAACATGTGCATGTGACGATTGAAATAGTGTTGAAGCCACCTTCCATTAATCTGCAGATGTAACTCTGCTACTGTGGAAACCCTGTCACTATGGCCCTTTCATTTATCTAGAAATGTTTTCGGAAATCATGGACTCATATTCATTATACTTTTATAACACTTTATTTTGATAATTGCTGGTATGTTTTATTGTCATCATTGTACAAACTGTTCTGCAGAAAGTTTGCTGGTAAGTTCAGATCTTGCACTTCGAGCTCAACTCACTGAGTTCCTGGACCATAAACTGATACGCCAACGTCGCAGCCCTGATGGATCAGAACTACTTCTGGTTCCCATAGATATCACAGTGTTGCAACATTTCTTGGAACAAGTGGAAGGGAACACATAGCAGAGGTACAGGGAACATGGAAGCACAGGTTTTCATAAATATATAATCCTCTTCTTTATTCATTATATCATCATTCCATGAATGAATTCATTTTATATCTTCAGATACTTCAGTTTGTTTGATAAAGGTAATGCTGTCCCTGGTGTTCAATTCCACACTGAAGGCATATGGAGAGTGGAGGTATAGCTCCATGCACAAGCCACTGGATGGTGATGAGTGGTCACTGTCATGCCAAGGCTGCTTTACACCCAGGGAATGGGAATGAACCCTGAGTACCCACTATTTGTGTATTCTGTAATAACTTTAGAATACTTTGGTCAGGTCTGATGAGGTGAAGTTCCATGTGAGAAGAATTTGAAGTAACATTTTTATTTTTGATTGGAGATTCAGACTCTTTTATTGTAGTATAATAAGAAATATGATATAATTTGAGTCAGGAGAGTACTTTAAATTAGGCTGTGATGACTGTCCAATAACCATTTCAATACATCATTAATCCATTATTTTATTAAATAAACCACAAACAGGTTGATAATAGTAACCTATGATGCCTTAATACCTTTCTGTGAGAGCAAATAAAATGTGAAAAGTCGTTTTTAAAACAATAATGGTGAAAGATGGTTTTTCATTGCACTGTTCATGTTTTTGAGTGTATGAATAAAGTGTATGGGATTTCTTATACTTATTCATTTTAAAACTTGTATTTGTACCCCTATCTGCAAAAAATTGTGTGAAAGAATGAATGCTTAGTAATTACCAACTGGAATCATGGTGTGGACTACAGTGTCATTTTACACTGATAATTAGAAATTACATTACTTTATCATGCTCCATGGGCAGTGACACTGCTGGATGTTTGAATAATTTCACAATTTTTTAATGGCTGTATTATCAACGTCAGTCATTATATTCAAAAGTAACACAAAATGCTCTACCTATAGTATTAGCTGTAATAGTCCCTACTTTTGAGTGTGTACCTGAGAAAAATTACATCCTTGACGTTCATGAATAAAATATTTGGTACTAGTGTACTGTGGTTTCCTCTGTCAGAAGGTGACATCTGTAACCCAAGTTATAAGAATTGAATAGCTTAGATTTGTCGCTTTCATTTGCAATGGCCACAGTTTAATGCATGACTGTATTTACTAGCAGTGACTACGTTGTACAACATACGACGGGTATAATGGAGTGGTACTTGTAATTTATTAATCATGGAGACCAACCTCACGTGATAAAATTTGTATATGTCATTCACAATTCTACAGCACATTTGTTTTTATAAGTGATGAATTCTTTGTACTATTTAGAGTGGTGTTTTTATATAGGAGTTAATATCATTACTTCATGAGTGGACCGTTCGTGTTGTAACAACCCGGCTCGCATTTTGAAAAACGATTTCTCGCTATTTTAAATACGAAATATTTGTTGTGCTCGTGTGCGGTATTATGACTTACGAAATACGATGTATATACTCACTATCCAAAATTTTTACGACCTGTGCATCAGGATTTGGCTAAAACTGATAATCACGACACGCTACGCCACTGATCATCAGGTTTTCTGTGGACTTGTATTCGAAATATATTCCTATGTTGGTTGCACTGATTACCGTATATGAAAAATTTTGGCATTGCTGCTTGTGGTAGTGTCGTATGGCGAGTGAATGTGAATTGTGTTCGGATCTTGGTATTCAAAGTGAATTGACTGTAATAATATAGTATGTGTACTGGAAATATGTGTATTTTGATGAAAGCCATGTATCTGCAAGCATTATGAGAAGGACTTGACTAGAAAGTAGGTCTTAGTCAATATTTGACATGAAGGTTATCTTTTGTCCTGTTGAGATGGCTACAGAGTTGAATGTCCTTGACTTTTTGATGGTCATACATGAAATAATTAATTACTTTTAAATCTGTGTACGTGTAGAAGTTTTCGAGATTTGTTTTAATTTTGACTTTCGACGATTTTGCTTCCTGTATCACTTATTGATTTTGTCATTAGTAAGTTATGAAATGGATTGTACCTTTTATACAGCTGAAGGTATAGGATAGTTAGCCATATGGCAAAGAAGTGTTACAGATGTGTTTCTGCGTGTTGTGCACTCATTATATAAGTTTATAACGTATTACTTTACATTGATGTAGGTGTCTGCAGTTAATGTGGCTTGCTGCATGGATATATGTTTAGCAGCAAGCATTGAGTGACCTTGCTATTTGCTGTGTTATCTGTACACCGACTCATGCAATTGCGTCTATGTTTCGGTAAGTGACATTAATGTACACATTTTTACACTCATATTAGTGTGTTAGAAGTTATAACTTATATACTTGGTTTTAAAAATTGATGCTGGCATATCAAGTGAAGTCTGAGAAACATAATTTATATTGTAACGTTAGCAGTTGCTGTTGTGCTTTAAACTATGCATTTGTTTAAATGTATAATGAATTTCCAAAATGACACCATAAGCACAACAGTTTTCATCACATATTGTTTGTCGTGCTTGTAAATATGATTAGCAGCATGAATTGGCAAAGTATGTTATTACAGCATAAGTTTGTTTGTTTGTTTTTTTGAAATTGTTTGTGTTAGGGTAATAACGAAATTAAATAAAACCTGGTGTGACAGATTAGGGAGAAATTGGTAGATAAAATAGTTATGTGAGATGTAGAAACTGCGTGGACAAGCATATATCATCACCATATTATAAACTTCTTCTGTAATTGTAACTAGTATAGTTATGATTCAGGTCAAAGAAGAGATCACAAAATGAACATGTGTATTTTTCTCTTTATAAATAATTATCTCAAATTTGAGACCATGTTAAGGTAGATTAGTTTCACTTGAATCTGATTTAGATTAACCCTCTGAAGTTCGCGTAAATAATCTTTTACAATTCAATCTTTAACCTCAGAGTAAAAATAATACATCTATATTGCAAGGATCATTTGGTTAATATTCATAGAAATGATCTTTGTTAATACTGAGAATCATATGGAACCCACAAATACGTTCTGTGGGCAAAGTGGAGAGTTAATGAATGTTAAACCAGGTGGTTATGTAGGGACTACTGGACGTGTAGGGTTGAACAGAGTTGACTGGGTTTTCCTTTGTTAAGCTGATAGGTACACTAGAGTTGTTTAATAGTATCACATTTGATAATATTTAAACCATTACATGCCATTCTCAAGTGTGTATGATGGTTTAAATCAGTTGTTCTTAACTTGCATTCTGTCCTTTTTGCTTAGTGTGACTTGCGTGCATGTTTGTGTTATGAAAAATAGTTACGTGATATCACAGAACATGATTTGTTAATGTCATCAGTATTTTCCAGTAAGTATTGTGAGATTTATTCAGCTCATTGAAGGATGACAAATCAAGAACTTTGATGTGTCCTATTAATGAATGCTTGGAGGGATGCTTGTGAATCACAACAACAAACTATAAACCTGATATTGAAAGATTGCTCAAGCATAAACAGTGTCATATAGCTTAGTTCTGAATAATTTTGTTAAAAAGCATACTGAGTAATATGTGATCTTGTTTGTAGTAACAAGCTTAATATAGTAATTATTTTAATTATATAATAAATTATGCTCAGTTATAATATTACTGCCTACAAGTTGATAAAGGCTGAATATTTTGCCTCAGATTTGGGAAAAGTTGAGAACCCTTTGTTTGTGTGACATAAAAGTAGTAGCTATTTAACCAATTTAGTAATAACATTTACATTAAATATATATTTATTGTTTTATAATTCCTGATGGCCTGTCTGGGTAGTAGATGATAATACAAAAATGAAAATAAGTGGCATCATAATTCTTTTGATAACTTCTTGTTTATAAAGCTAGCTCTTTATTAAGGGTGTGTGAAATTCCAGATTTTAAATTTATTGATACCTTAAATGTAACTTTGAACTGAACCGTAAAATTTAATTATTTTTGACCCTTAAATCTGAGAAAGCATACTTTCATCGCGTATTTAAAATCGGGTATGTTTGATGTTGTCACGTGAGAGATACAGAAAGTCTTATCCAGTCCAAATATCTTATTTTCCCTTTATGCAGCCATCGTTTTATTTTGTACGACACAGAGAATTATTTTTCCAGTGTTTTGTATCTTCTGAACATCTTCAACCATATGTCATGTGTTGATATTACTGATTGGAGGAAATTGTAGAGTGTGATTTTAAGGTAGACCCCAATTGCATAACACCCATAACCAAATTTCCTCCAAATCCATCCAGTAGTTTTCAAGTGGAATTATGTGGACAGAGACGGACAGGCAGACATGACCAGCCTTGCTGTGTTAATTTCATACAGATTGTGCAAAAATGCTTTACAAGGAATTTCCTGAAGAACGTAAACTTGAAGATGGCTGTCTTTTGGGTTGTTGCGCCGTGTAGTCTGGAGAAGTTTACCGACATTTCAGAGGTCCTTGCTGCCTCCATCATGAGGGCTCTGAAGACAGCCATCTTCAGACTCATCACCATGAAAACTTCAAATCCTGTAAATAATATTGTTGTTCAAATGTTGATTTTAGAAATGATCATCAACAAAACAGCTAACACATAACGTAGGCTATACATAGCGTTATTGTGTCAGTTTGTAATACAAAGTCACGGTTGTCTGAGAAAATGCTGTTTGGTCTAGAGTAGGTTTCTGATAAACAATAGAATTACCAGAGAAGAAACAAAACAATTGAAAATATATCCATGTATTTTGGTGAAACTTGTGAGAAGTGTATACGTTAGATTGCAGTTTGCTTATTTGTTTTGTTAATAAGAAGTAAGAAAGGTTCAATAAATAAATTTTATATTGAGGAGGTATGCTTATGTTTTTACATTGCCTGCAGTCTAATAGAGATTTTGAAGAATTGTCACCATCAAAACGACACTTTGTCTATTATATAGATAGATTTCGTCTGATATTGCCCATTATTACACGGTATACAAGTTCAGTTACACAAACAAGGTTCTCAGGAGAGAGTTGTTATAACATGACGTGAAGTCTTGTTTAGGATGGAGAAAATGTAGTTTTTAATGTCGTATGGATAATTGTGAATTGGCATGCAGGGAACAGTAGCTGAAATTGATATTTCTGAGTTATATGAATTTGGCCTTGCTTCTGAAATTGGCAAACTGCACGGTGTGTCACCATCATCCCATGCTGCAAGTTCAAAACATGGATTTAGTTATGTTATGTCAGATAACCTTATGCCAGGTTTCACCAAAGTTCAAATTGTATTAAAGAATGGTCAGAGGTTGTAAGCAACAAATCTTACCGCATGACAATTTCGTGATCTTGAAATCCTGCGGGAAATGACACTGTTAGATATTTTACGTTTTTTGAGCTGTAGCTCAGGGATGTCATGCCTGTGGGCACCTTCGTGTCATTGGAAAGGCATTAGGGTACTCCACCCCTTGTGGAATATTTAAAAGGAGTTTTAAAGGTTTGATATTTTTAATTGATAATTTATCACACAATTGTGGTATTTCCTCTTGAGCCAGTCGTTACATCTTAACGAGGAATTTTGCTTCTCTTAACGGATAAAAAGGTGCAGGGTTGAGCCAGTCGTTACTTCTCTTAACGGATAAAAAGGTGCAGGTAATCCTGTTTAAAGAGATTCAGCTTAAGTAGACAAAGCTAACTTCGATTATGTGTCACTAATAATTTAGTTGGCACA